GCTGTTCAACTTAGCTCATTCGACGACTTTCCCCTTTGGTCGGTTCGGAAGTCCGACATTTTAATAGGGAGCAGGAGGGAGCTTGACGACTGTGAAGTTAACTTTCTCCCGCTCGCACGCTTCTTTGGCCAGATCCTGTAAATCTGCCGACTTCTTCTGCATCCCTCGCGGCTGTCCGACCTAACTCCTTCGACGACTTGACCTTCCTATCGTGTCAGAAGTCGCGACATTGATCGTAGACAAAAACGGGAGCTTGTAGCTTCTTGGGCTCCTTCGTGCTGTTCGACTGCACTCCAACGACGACTTTCCCTTCCTGTCTAGATCGGAAGTCACACATTTTGATAGGAAGAAACAGCAGGAGCTCGCTGCCGTGAAGTTAACTTGCCCCCTTTCGTGCGCTCCTTTGACCAAATCCAGTAAATCTTCAAAACAGAGAGAATAGTGGAGGGGATTTTATTTTGTTATTATTATTCTTCTTGTTGTTGTTATTTAAAAAAAAAAGAGATAAAAAAAGAAAATCCCTCTCTTACCTCGGTGTTCGTGTCGAACCAGCCAACCACCTATACACGCTTTTCTTAGCGTGGTAGGAGGGAACCAGGTGCGACGCATGCGATGAGGCAGGTAAGCCTGGTGCACGCTTTTCTTAGCGTGGCTAGGACAACTCTTAAGTACCCATACGCGGCTCTGTACCTGCATGGAAACAACTACTCTTTTCTTGTAAAAGGTACCGAAGACCCATGCACGCCTTTCTTGGCATGGTGGGGACAAAGATTTACGGCCATAGTGTCCTCGTACGAGGGCACCTACCATACACACTTTTCCTAGCGTGGTGGGAAGGCCCAGTTTTCTATAATTTTTTCCTAAACGTGGAGACGCCGGGAGGCTGCCGAAATTTTGGGTGAATATACGACCGCACTCGGACCTGATCTGAACTTAAAAAACAAGTACTTGGACTCAAATGAGCATGAACAGTGGACTTGTGAACTTGAAACCGAGCATAACACAAATGAATTCAATTCAAAACTTAAACAAAATATATTAAGAATTTGGAATTCAAAGTGATAACGAGGAACTCAAACTAAATTCAAATTTGACATGAACAATAAAGAACCTGAACTTTCAAGAACAACATGGGACTCAAGGGACTTGAGTTTGAATGGGATACAAAGAGCCGAACCAATAACAACATACAAGACTCAAGCATGAATTGAACTTGAACTCGGGTCCGATTGCAAGAGGCTTTAACAACATGAATGATAGGTAACCTGGATGAAATACATAAGACGGGGCTTTGGATGAATGAACGAATCAAAGTCTAAATGTACAGTCGTCCAAGATAACAACAAGTTACAAGTGGGAGATGAAATCCCAATGCACGCGAAAGATAAATGCAACGAACTCCTACAACAGTCCCTACGAGGTTAAATGCAACGTGCTCACAAGGACAACAAATGATTACATAATGCTTATGTCCCCTAAAAGCATTATTGAAACCTCACACAAGCAACAACGCCTGTTGATTGAAGAAGGCAACATTGGAGATCAACAGAGGACCAATCACCGCAAATAGTTGTGAATGACAAGGGTGGACATAATATAGGTGTAATAGACTCCTACGACAATCCCTATAATGCCTGTAGATTGAGATGGCAATACTACCCCTTTGATAGTATAAGATCCGTCCTTGCAAACAAGTACGACAAACCACCTAAGATTGGTGAAAGGAAGATATGATACTGGTACAAATGACTCTCCTATGAACATTTTCAAGAGATCATACCAAATACGACCCGTCCCTACAAACAAGTACAAACATCAAACCACCTGAGATTGGTGAAAAGTGGATATGATGCACAAATAATGGCTCTTCTACAACACTTCTAAGAGGTAGTAGTGAATACAACGGGTCCCCCGTAAATACACACAAGCTGCTTGTGGATAACAACAGTGGGTATATCGTAAGTACAACGAACCACTATGGACACAAGTACAAGTATCACCTACAACAACACTGATTGAGATTCACAAGTACGTCGGGTATGAAGACAACTCGATGTATGGAGAAAGGACACCTCCTAGCAGAATGGAAGAGATGTTTGAGCAAATTCGAACTAAACATCTTGGTGTTCTAAAATTTCTTCTTGGTCTTGTACTTAAGAAGAAAATAGTACTTGCATCTACAAACTTTGGAAATAACAAGTTTACTATACTGTAGAACTTGAAAGGGGTTCTTTTCAAGACAATGATCACGAATTTCAAAGTCCTCCAGGTAAATGAGAAAAGGGAGTCTGTATCAGAACAATGAAATATCTCATTGCAATCAGGTGATAATGCTACGATTCACCTGTATGCAAAAGCAGGAGATTCGTTAGTGCACTATAATCCATCTACAGAAAGATTCAAGTACTGAACGACAATCTACCTGTATAAAGCAGTAAATAACTCTATTCAGAAGCTGCTACGCCACCGGATCCGCGACATACATGCAAGCAGACAGAAGGCGTTTACAATTATTTCAAAGTACCCCGCACATGCACCATAATTTATATACATATAGGTACACAAGGGGTAAATGTAATCACAAACACCCGTATGGGCCATGGAGAGCATGTTGTAGAAACACATGTGATGTTTAGGGATGCTACGCGGGTCGATAAATGAATTCAAGTTTGAACCCGATTTTTCTATACGGATCAATAGGAGTCGACAGGGTTCGAACCATCAAACAAATATACGATTAAGGCGACTGATATATTTGTTTTAATATATTTATATTAGACTTTCAAGGCCTATAATCAAGAGAATTCACTAATAAGGACACAAAGCCTACGAAGCCCGATCATCTTATACGGGTGAATAGGAGTCGACAACGTTCAACAAATAATCATAAAATGCCCCAAAACACCCGCATGGGCCCCGACGACCGTGTTATTGGTACACACGTGACGTCTAGGGATGCTGCATTGGTCAATAAGTGAATTCAAGTTCAAACCCAATCCTCCTATGCATATTAATAGGAGTCGACAGGGTTCAAAGCATAAAATACATATACGGTTGTGACGACCGATATATTTGTTTTAATACATTTATATTATGCCTTCATGAAGGCCTATAATCAAAATAATTCCCTAATAGGCACAAAACCTACGAAACCCGATCATCCTATAAGGGTCAATAGGAGTCGACAAGGTTCAATAAATAACTATAAAATGCCCAAACGCTCGCATGGGCCCCGACGAGCATGTTATAAGTATAAACGTGATGTCTAGGGATGTTTCATGGGCTAATAAGTGAATTTAAGCTCAAACCCGATCCTTTTATGCAGATCAATATGAGTCGACAGGGTTCGAACCATTAAATAAATATACGCTTGTGGCGATCGGTTATATTTATTTTAATACATTCATATTAGGCCTTCAAGGTCTATAATTAAAAGAATTCACTATTAAAGGCATAAAGCCTACGAAACCCGATCCTTTGTCGGCAAATTGGCAGAGTCGACAAGGTTCAAGCTTTAAATGGAAATGACCCCATATATCCAGATGATGGCCGTGTTGAATATAGATGTCAACTGGACAGGTTCACAAAATATTTTAAAATGCCCTCAAACTCAATAAAATTTAAATATTTTTCAAGTGATCTCAAGATCACCCCGATGATGGTCATGTTGAATGTCTATCTCAACCGGAGGGGTTCACAAACATTTTCAAATGCCTTCCAAGCTCCGCCCAAATACCTATAAAAATAAAAAAAATTCCAGACCAAAAATCTCAAAATCATCCAAGTCCAAAAAAATTATTTAAAATTAAAAAATCAAACCATTAAACACTTAAAGCAAATACACATACACCCTCCGTAACAGTTTGCCGAGGTGAACAAATTAAAACTTACTTAAGCTCACATAGAGCTAAATGCCTGGTCGAAAATATCAGTATGATCCATTCTCAAACAATCTACTACCAGTAAGGACGTGGTACGTGTCATCTGACCGACGATTTTCCCACCAAATGGCACCACAGGATAGACGATTATGACCCGGGGCCCTTTGAACCAAGTGGTTTTACCACCAAATAACACCACGAAATACTGGTTATGACCAGAGCCAATAAGTTCCTTAATGACATCAAATCCTTGATAAATGAATCAATAGATATATGATTCATAGGGCATAAATCCCTCTGTTAGCTAAGGTGGATTCAAATTTGTCCCCTTAGACAAATATCCAACCCAGGTCTACAAGATCCCCTTGGATGAAGCAACCCATGGCTGCCGACAAGGATCCTTCTGTAAGGTTGGGTCGACAACCTCCTCTGACTAAGTAGACCAGGGACCACGATGGCCCGGGACAATAGAACCATGGGATCTTGATCGGGTTCATCATTCATTCCCCCACCATCCGCTTTAAATGCAAGATGACGAAATTTCTATTTTAAATATCAAATCCTCCAACCCTTCAAACTTCCAATTCTCATACACATGCTACTACTATGTGCCAGATAACACATATTCTCTATGTATCTGATTGACGACTAGCCTTAATCGAAAGTTCTCTCTCATTATTGGGAGGGGTAATTAATTATAGGGGCTTGCGCCTATAGGAAACCAGAACTCAGATCATAAAGTCCTCACAAAATGAGGGCGAAATCTCTGGGTACTGTCTTATCTACAAACTCATCTGCCTACCAAAATTTACCCCGGAACTTAATCAGTTAAAACTCCCCTGAATAAAAAAAGCAATCAGCGTGCGGAGGCCGGGGCCGAATTTTCGGAGCCCACACCAACTTATACAAATAATTAAAAAAAAAACTTTAATATTGGCTAAAACCAGAAATGTTCTACCTATATTCCTACCTTATGTTCAAAGTGAAGCAATAAGACAACAAAATTCATCATGCATTCACCGGTTAGCTATTTGATTCTATTTGATTTTTTATATTTAATTAAAAAGGCCTGCAAATATTTTAGAAGGGAAAGTTGCCCATAGCTACTAAACACAGTACCTTACGAGGCTTAGCCATCATTACGTTTGTATCTTGTTTATTAAAACCAATTGCTGTAGCAGGTAAACCATCAGTAACCAGATTCACCCACAGTAGCTGGACCTGAAAATTAAAATGGGAAATTTCTTAGCTTTAGATTTAGATAATTCCATAAATCAAATTGAAAATAATGCATTTTCTCGAATGGATATCAGCTTTAACAGCCAGTAGCACATAATACTTTTCAAGCATAGTGAAAAAGAAATTGCAAGAATAGTTCCAAAATTTTCTTGAAAAGACTGAAACCATAGTTGTCATTTCAAATGAAGGGCTTACCGGAACGAGAGTATCAGGTGTTCCAAGCACAGCTGCAACAAAAATACAAACTACTTCTCCAATATTTGAGGAGATCATGTATCTAATGAATTGTTTTGTGTTATTATATATAGCCCTTCCCTCTGCAATAGCCTGTTCAAGAGAAAAATAATAGCTTGAAGCAGCAAATGAATTCTTTGCATGAAACGACACTAAAAAATAAAGCAAGAAGAGGAAAATAAAGCTAAAAAAGAAATACTTACAGCAACAATCGAAGCAAAATTGTCATCAGCTAACACCATATCAGAAGCACTCTGTAATTACAAAGTCACAATCAAGATCATTTTAATCTCCTACATTACTGGAGAACCTACTTCAGAGAAGTCTATCTATACTGGTTAACAGTTTCTTTCCTCCCCAAGACTGCCCACAAATAATTTGAGAAGACAACGATATATAGAAATTAACAAGATAAAGTGAAATGCAAAGACAGACAACAAAAAAAAAATGACATGCAAATAACTGCAGAAATAGACAAATGTAGATAACCTTAACTAAAGGAAGTAGAGAAAGTTGGATAGCAAGAGTGAAAAAAAAAAAAAAATCCAGTAGTGTCCTTGTAAAGATCTGCACAGAAGGCACATGCTAAGCCACCAGTCCTTTACACAAGCAATTCAATGCATAACATGAAGAAAGGATCACAAAAACCAACTGTTAGTATGTCGGATGTTGTCTGATTATTTCATGCATTCCCATCACATAACAAACATTTAAGCAGATTTGAAGAAAATAATGCAAAAGCATGATATTTCAACTAATCAGTTAATCCAGGTATCAAATACCGTAATCCTAAAGAAAGTTATGCTTTTGAAATCAAACCTATAATATTGTTTAGAAATTGAAGTACAAATTGAGTGATAAGAAAACACGTTTCACTATTCCATTAGCATTAAAAATGAATACCTTGGCAACCGCTGTTCCTGACCCCATAGCAATTCCAATGTCTGCTTTCTTTAATGCTGGAGCATCATTGACACCATCTCCAGTCATTGCGACCTGGAAAGTGGGCAATGAAAATTTAAAAGAATTACTTCAGTGAAACTAATTGTGGCTAGAAATAGCATACTATTCTTTGGCTAGCTAAAATTTTACAGTTCATCCAACATAATTTTAACAGCACACACACTGTATTCAAGAAAAATGATGGGTGCAAAGAAATACAATACTATTTTGAAAGTATTTGATGAGGACATCAGCAGAAGATTTCGGCGCATCTACCATCAGAGGAATCGTAGATCGACGGCTACGATTGGGAGTCTTTATTTATGAAGCATTATATGTATTATTTTATTTTTGTGTCTTAGTTTTACAATTGTACCCTTATGAGGGCTTAATTCAAGATGTAGCCCTAAGGGCATTTCAATCTTTGCATTTCTTTTATTTTAGACCTATATATAGAGGTCTTCACCCTTGTATGAGGGATGATTTGATTAATGCAAAAATTTTCGGCCTTCTTGTTCCCCTTGAGTGTTGAGAGCGCTAGAGAGAGGAGAAGTCCCTAGGTGAGGGCAAAATAATACCCGTCAGCCGTCGGAAAAGTCCGGGCTCACAGTCCATCTCCCCATCCTTTTCCCCACCGTCGGCCAACCCTTCCTTCTCTTCCAACCCGTCGGCCTCCTCCCATCCCCACCCCAAACCGCCGGTCAAATTCCCCCTCCACCTCCTCCATTGTCGGCCTCCCTTCTCCCACCCAACACATGGCCCAAGCCTCACCACCAAGCCCCTCCCCCACTGAACCCAAGACCCACCTCTCCCTTAGCCGTCGGCCTGCCCAATCTCATCCCTAGTCGCCGGCCTACCTAGTCCACAGTCCTTGATTTCAAATTCAAATTGCCTCCTAATCACTTTCCTAAATTATCCAAAGTATTGATTTGGAGAGTTTCTTAATTTGAATTCAAATATATTTGAATTTTAAGTTCTTTCCTAATTGATAAATCTAATTTAGGCAACCTCCCTTAATCACCTTAAATCTGAAATTAATTCAGATTTGACTCTCCAATCAACAATTAAAGCAAGGGTCCACATACATCGAATGTGGACACCCTTTCTCCCTCTTCCTTTGGCTGGCCCCCTCCCTCTCCTTTTCTCTCTCCAATTAATCCCCCCCTATTAATTAAAACCCCTTAATCCCTCATTTAAGCCGCCGGCCCCCTCTCTCCACTCTCACTTAGATAATCCCCCATTAAGGGAGATTTGAATTTCAAATACTCCCTCCTTTTCCACTTACAAAAAAAATTGAAATTAAATTCATATTTTAATTGATTACCTTTCCCCCACCTAAAATAAAAGCCAAAATTCCAAGAGGCCTAATCCTTTAGCCTTAGCCGAAATTTCCCACTCTCCCCTACCATCATTTCTTCTCTTCTCCACTACTTCATACACCTCCAAGATTTAAGCTTCACAAACCGGCCTCCTCGTCATGAATGGACGATCCTGGAAGAGATCACGGCTTCGTGTACGATTCTCAAGGACGAGTGGATATTCTCTGATCTCCCTTCTTCAACCTCAACTTAGAGATCGACGACATCGTCAATGACTACGTCGACCGAATCCTTTTCACCTTGACGTCTGCTATCGAAGAACACCAAATCTCTAGACAGTTGAGAGTTATCGAACATCCACCAACTTCTTCCCCTCCAGCTAATTGTTCAATGGGTAAAGCTGTAGGCATTCTCTTTCTTTATGAGGCATCTTTAGGTTTGCTGAAATTATTCTCCCATTGACTCCACCATCAAGAGTGAAAGTGAGGGGAACTCGAGGTGAACTTTTTAGTTGTTAAACGGTAGATTTTTTTGCTATTTATGCAACTAACATTACTAAAATTTTGTTCTTATTTTAAATTGTCATGTTAATCTTTCTTGTAACCGCATGCCAAAGCACAGCCGCGTTACTAAAATTTTGTTAATCTTTCTTGTAACAGCATGCCAAAGCACAAATTGTCCTGTTAATCTTTCTTGTTAAACGGTGAATTTTTTTTTTTTTTTGCTATTTATGCAACTAGCATTACTAAAATTTTCATCTTATTTTAAATTGTCCTGTTATTCTTTTTTATAAGAGCGTAATTTAATTCGTATATCAGATTTTAAACTAGATAAGGAATGAATTAAGCTTATATTATATTAAATCATAAATTAGATTTTTGAATAGCAAATAATTTGAGTTAAAAATAATTCATATAGAAAAATGAGAGCATATTTAATTAGTTTTAGAAATTAATAATAGCTAAATTATGATTTTTTATGCATATTTAAATGATAAAGCGAGGAGAATTAATTAAATTCAAGAGCTATATATATATATATATATAATATTTCAGATATTAATTATTAGATTTATAAATTTATGGGAGTAAATTTTAAATATTAGAATTAGAGAATATTTCGAGTAACAAAAAAATTATAAGGAATAATAATGAGAATGAATTTATATAGGTATTATGACGACGATGATAAAGAGATGACAAAAGCAAATTTTGAAGACATCCATTTCGAGGAGAGTACTAATGTTCCTATTCTTGTAGTAATATTTTTATTTTCTCTAATTGACTGCATTGAATAAATCAATACTTTCTGGTTAATAATTATTGTAAAATTTTCATATCATATTTCAATGAATGGTCATATTGAAGTTTTGATAGTCATCATATTATTCATTATATATATTGTAGAAAATTCTTAAATGATTTGCACATGTCTTATATTGAAATGATATGAAATGATATATAGTATGCAAATAAAGTTATTTAATAGAAATGCTTGCATGTGAATGTTGACTAATAGAGTACACCCCCTTATGATACTGACTGGGGATGCAATGTACCCACATGCGCAAATGGAAAATGTTATGAAAAATTACAAAAAAGGATAGGGAAAAGAAAATGGAAAAAGTTACGGAAAAGGAAGTACCTTCATTGGTACTATTTTAAATGGTGTCTTCTGTGACGGTTGTATTATGTATAGAAAGAATAATGATATAACATATGTGACACGTATAGGTATGCATAATATTGATAGTCATAACCAAAATGAATTTTAAATAGAATTACATTATATTTAAAATGAGCATGTGTATTATTCCAAAGGCATTATATTACTGTAACTTAGAAAAATGACATACTCACTGAGTTCTAACCTACTCTTTTATTTATAAAACATTCACATATAATTATTCGATTAATTTCAATGAGTAGAAAATGAGAGAACGTTTATCGTAGGCGCAACGCTTCAAGAGAAAGGAATTTATAGCATTTTACTTCAAAATTTTGAGGCTTTAGCGTCTCTTTCAATGCATTGAAAATAGTTAGTAGAAAAAAATTTAAACAACTGTCGTCTGACCATTTACTCCCACCTCATTAATTAAAGCCTCCAGCTGGGTCGCGATATTTTCAGGAAACCGGAAGGCCAAGGGGAGTGATATTTTCAGCTGGGTCATCTGGCTGTTTACTCCCCCATTTAAACCAATTAAAACAAGGGAAATAGAAGAACAAGGGGTTGTCCAGAAGCAGCAGCCGAAGAGCCACACAGGGAACCGGAAGGAACCAGCCACAGGAGACAGGATCGGGCACCACCGGAATAGGCAGCCACAAGGGGGAAGGTACAGACACCACAGGAGACCGCAACAGGCAACCAAAGGGGAACAGGAACAGGCAGCCACAAGGGGGAAGGAACCAGCCACGGGAAAAGGAGCCAAGAGGGGAAAACCGAAAGGTCACTGAGAAGGGAAGAAGGGGGAATAAACCTGAATTTGCTCATTAATCTCAGCATTTATGAGCTAGAACATAGCAGCTTCCAAAAACCATCCAAAAACTGAGAAGCCAAGCTCAAACCGAGAGGCAACCAGCAGCCCAAGAGCCAAGGCTCATGATTTGACCCCCCCCCCTCCCTTGCCCACATCAGATTCTTCCCAGTTGAAAGAGCTCATCTCCTGATGATGATGTTTTAGATTTATCCCGCGAGACAAAGGAGGTGCATCTAATTCTCGAATCTTTCCCGCATACTTCTTCAAAATCATCTCTCGTTCTTGTTTGAATTGTTCATGCAAAAGTTTCTTTTTCTTCACATAATTTTTCGTACACATGCATCTTTATCTATAGTTGGTATAATTCATTTTGTAGAGGATCGATTGGACTTCCTTCCGACGAAATCCATCTGCCCATTGGAATTGGGATTTCAAGATCTTCTGGCTAATTTTCTTCCACTACTGACACAAAATTTTTGTCTTTTTCCACTTTTCTAAACACTTTAAAAAAAAGAGAAACCTAGGAAAATCCCAACCTAGGCTCTGATACCAAATTGATGCAAGCAAAAAATTAGGAAGACCCTAATTATGCAAGCATACTAAAAAGACTTCCTAGGAAAATAAAAAAATACACAAAATAAGGCGCAAACACGCTTAACTTTTATAATACGACGTTTACAAACTTAGAACCTAGAAATACCTAAAACTGCTCTTCATTTGTCGAGAAGAAAGAAACAAATGGCGTCGAACTTGCAGAGAGAAAGAGGTAAGAAATCGAGACGAAGGAGAAGACAAGCTCGCAAGCTTTCCCAAGGAGAGAAGAGAAATTGAACAAGCTCGCAAGCTATTCCAAGAAAAACCGCAGGTTTTGGCTCCAAAAATCACTCACACAACACTCTTTTTGCTTACAAAATATCACATATTTATAGGGGAAATGGGGCAGCAAAATAGCCCAAAATACCCCCATTTAAACCAATTAAAACAAGGGAAATAGAAGGTTAAGGGGCTATCTAGAAGCAGCAGCCGAAGAGCCACACAGGGAACCGGAAGGAACCAACCACGGGAAACAAGAACGAGCACCATTGGAATAGGCAGCCACAAGGGGGAAGGAACGGACACCACAGGAGACCGGAATAGACAACCAAAGGAGAAGGAATGACCAAAAGGGAACCGGAACGGGCAGCTACAAGGGGAAAGGAACCAGGAGGGGAAAATTGAAGGGTCACAGAGAAGGGAAGAGGGGGGAATGAACCTGAATT